AGTACTGAGCAACCAACTTTTTTGACGGGTTAGGTGTTCAACTCCCAATCTGGTGCTGGTTTTTAATGCAACTTCTTCCGATACACACGCGGAGCCACACAGTGAACGTAGAAAAATCGATCAGCCCAAGGCCAATACACACAGCCGCAATTTTAACCTTCCTGGTCGAGAAAGTCAGTATTCGCTTCGACAAAAGACAGCTGGCCCAGCTGGCCCAGCTGTCCGAAACGTCAGTGAACCTACAAATTTATACCGGTGGGCAGAAAATGAACCCTGGTCCTAAAAGCCTCTGATGAAACGAAATTTAGATAAGGCCAATTTATTACGCTGCTCAGTTTTATTTCTAGCGCTTGAATGGTGAACTGACAAACTGGACGTAAGTTTAAACAAACAGGTTGCACATCAGACAAAAACACAAAAATCATGCAAGATAACATGAAGGCTTCAACATATTATTAGTCGTATTTAGCTGTCAGTTATAGGAACCAGTTAGATGAAACAAAAGGTGCTAAGAAATGTCAAGAAACAATAAAGCGAATAAGAACCCATGTGACTAAAACGTAAAGATCGAATTAAGTGAATGGGCGGACGAGAATTCCATAAAAGAATATGAAATTATTGTGTTTGTTTTAAGAATAATTTACCTCATGTTGATATACTGATAGGTGAAGGGATGGCGAAGTCTTTCGAATTCTCTAAGCTTAAAGCGTACGCGTTCAACAAAGAATATATCAGTGTGATGACAAATAAACACCAGCCTTCGTTGGAGAAATGAGCGCCATGCATTCTTGAGTGGCATTTTAGGGAATTTGCAAATCTCCGGCATCTTCTGCAACCAACGTGCGCACTTTTTTGAAGAGAATGGAGGGCATGCGTCTGGCCCCAAGTACAAACGGGTCCCACAGCGCCGGAATGTAGACAGCGATGATGATGGGCGAGAAGAATAACTGGAGGTAAAGAAGCACGATTCCTGCCCTATAGGTCAAACTGCCCAGCTTCATTTTGCCCAATCCTGCCGCACAGAGAAACTGGTAGATATTGCCGTAAAGACTGCATGCCACAAAATTTGCTGAAAGTGGTACGGTGCACATGGATGCTGTCATCCAGCCACGCGGGCGACGTAGCTCCTTTATCTGCCGATCTGTCGTTCCCGGAAAAGTCAGACAATTCCAAGTGTCCCAGAGCTTCTCTGCTGGTGTATTTCGTACCCACTGGATAATCTTATAGCAGGAAAAGCACAAGAAAATGGGACTTATGATAACGGCTAGACCAAACCGCACAAAACTCCCTACATAAGCACACACCAGCACAATGTAGGGAATGTCTGTTTCACGGCAGAAGCAATAGTTGCCATCGAATAGCACCACAAATGCCTGACTTAATACACTTAGGATGCTGCTCACTCCTATAATTATCAGGCAGGTTACATCTGAGAACATGGACGGAGCGAAGGAGTTCTGGTATTTTTCGGCAATCTGAATTGCCCTGTGTCCCACCATGAAGACGAGGTTCAGAGCACCAAATATGTAACATACATCGAAGAGGTAGAGACTTCTCCAGACGTGGCATACGATCCGGCCTAAAATATAGTCGTTGGGTCCGATTCGTGCGGGAATAGTGTGATGACAGAAACCGATAATACTGCAGAGTACCGTAGATGCTGTAATAGCACGCAGATGAATCAAGTAGGTCCTTGTATAGCTTTTTAAGAAGCAGAGGATTATCAGGAGGCCGAGTCCCAGGAACAGGCTCAGAAAACATATAAATGCAATGAGTTTGGAGATGGCGTCTCCTGTTGTGTCACTTTTAGGGCATTCCCAGTAAGCTGGTTCCATTTTATATTCGAAATAACAGTGCTTTGCTGATATGGAGTTTGCGTGATAAAAATATTCTAAATAAATGACATAGTTACATATGATAATAACGGCTTACAAATAAACCAATCAAAAATACAGTCCAGTTTTCAGCACCCAATTTGGTCTTATCCATTACTTTTTAGACGTTTTTTCCCTGAGGAACAATCATGGTCCGTTTTATACATGAGCGTAGCGCTGCTATTGGCCAGACCTTCTCACGCTGTCTATACGCGTAGTTGCATCCTCTGATTCATTTCATACTTTCTTATATCTGGCCTCCATCTAATCCCTATTCCACTGATTACGCTTTTCGCCTTTCGGTTAATGTAGGTGGTAAGCGAACACGATGACATCATATCGTAAATTCCCTATCCAAGGGAATGTCGGCCGAAATTTGGAAGTAAGCTTTCGCTTTCAAAATACAACTTAATCTGTTTTGTAATATTGATTAGCGCGCAGCCTAGCCGGAGTATATTCCGTTCACATCAAGCTGCCAGCTTTCAAAATAGTTTCCTTTTCATGTTCCAGAAAATGGCTAGTTATACAGTCATATCAAGTTTATTTAGGTAAATATAGGCAAAAGCCTTTCAACTCCCTATGGGTACACAGTAGTTAAGAAATTCATCGGCACAGTCGAACATTTCAAAGAAGATGGTTTACATAATTGTAGACATCTATTCATTTGTTCCAATTACTACAAGCACACGTTTTTAGGTCAGGTAACAAGGGCCAGTAGCTGAGCAAGAAGAGTAGACAGTGAAAAAACTCCTATGACACGGCTCAAAATTCAAAAATTGAGTGTTATTTGCGGATTTTTTAGGAGAAAAACTGGCGCTCGTGGGAGAAAGTATGTGAAAGTTAGGATCGGCATGCTGCTGTGCATGTTGATGGCAAGCCAACGGCCCATCCTGAGTAATACCTTTATCCAACCTGCCACACGATCGCAGAATCATGAGAACATCCCGAAGAACCGGAGATGCGACCATGATGCGCCATTGCTGAGACAAAAACAAAGGAACCTGCCACGGTCGTCAGCAGTCGGTTTTTAGGTGGAGATTAAGAAGAACGTGATAAGGCTGCATAGCCTAGGACCATAGTTGCATTGGAGGCGACTGCCGATATGACAGTTACAGTTTGCATAGTGAGAAGGAGGCAGCGCGAAGTTATTGGCTGTGCACGGTGAAAAATACTTCGAGTAAATAGTAATACTACTGTCTAATTTTATCATTGCTTTTAACTGCCCTTATAATTTCAGATATTTGTTATCGAAAAATGCACAATCGTATTCTTTACTGTACGCACGGGATAGCAAATTACGACTTCTACGAAGTGTATACCTAAAGAAAGGATAACTTTCGGTTTCAACTATTTTATGATTATGAACTATTTCCGATGATCAAAAGTGCACTCCCAAAGCAAAGCATCTTTCCATTAAATAACGTTACTTTTAAATTATATCACTGTGTCTACATCCATAGCCCCATTTTAATAAAATTATAGGACTTCTTCCTCAAATCATAGGGAAAAATGTACTTATCTTAAAACAGAATAAATATAATGTGAATTATGGAGACCTTAACTTCAGGTGTGACGACCGGTAGGGTTCAAACCTAAATGAAAATTAAGAAACGTTTATTAAACCGAAATATTCTTTCCCTCAGGTAGGGAATTTGTAGAAGACATTATCTGCTCCTAATATGCACAAGAAGGAATATCGTTTTGCATGCTTTCTATAAAATATACCTGAATTTAAAAGAGCAGTGGAAATCAATGAGAAATGCATAGTATTCGAACAGCCAATTTTTACAAAAATATATCTTGCGTACATAGTCAAAAGGTTGCTTGTTTAAAACCCGACACCTGTTATACGGCTGGAATATAGGAACACTTGCTTCCATGGTTATCATTATTAAGCCATGTGCAGTTAATATTTTGGGATTAAAAGTGCATGTTAGAATGTCAGCTGATAGTTCAGGACATGGTAAAGTTACTGTAATCTTGGTCCCTGACACAGAGGTTTAGCAAAACTGGGAATAATTTGGACTCTCAAATTGGACCCCGTGGAATGACATTAGTTACAGGTACCTCGGCCGACTGCTGGCGCCCGACTTGTTCTCTTTGGGACCGTCCAGTCAAAAAACGTTGTGGATCCGCCTGAAGAGCTTCCCACTAACCGTTGCGTTGCTCAGTTTATTCTGGAAAGAAAGCGATATTCTACGCTTTGTGTATTCATGCACTTTAGGAAAGAGCTGCAGGCTAGACTAAATGATTAACTCAGTCAAGAATTTTAGCAGGTCTGAAGGGGAGGGTATTGAATTTATTCGGCTGTATTGCTCTGTTCGTAAAATTTCTACCAAATAGGACTTTGCAATCCCTGTTTAAGCGGTGTAATGTTTTAAATACTATTCGTTTAAAAATGTTTGCATGAGGGTTAACTGAAATGAAAAATTAGTTTCGTTAGCGATTGTTTAACGTTCATTGATGGGTATAAATATCGTCAATCTAAACTGGAAAAATGGACTTGTGCTTCTGCGGTTAGAGCGGCGGTCTTCTGGTCAACCGTTCTCGGATTTGATTCTTGAATAGTGCAGCAATTGGGTTTAGGTATGAGTGGCTGATGACGGCTAATGAGCCAGAAACGGATATTCCGGTCTCCCGAGCCTTCCTCGGCAATGTTTATCTGCCTTAACCACTAGCCGCTCTGTGACTCTTGGCTGGGCTCATAAAAGAACCGAGAAGAAGACGATTCGATCGCTGGGACAGTACCTTTATTCGCCTGACATTTCGACATCCGTTGCGCATTCATCATCATAAAAAACCCCAAGTCGGAGCGGAAAGTATGATTTTCTTAATAGAACAGTGAACTTTCTTTCTGGAATTCTGTGTAGTTGAGGATGCTTTCCTTTACCGGGTTATAAATTAATAAAAAATAGTTAGTGACTCGGTAATTAGAATGATTTTTTACCACTGATATTTCATTACTTAGAAAATTAATTCTAGATTAGATAGAATATCTAATAAATATTTCTTTTTGCGCTTACCTGTTAAGAAATTACATATTCCAGCGGCATACTTGCCTTATCACACCAGCGTTTAATGTCACGTCAAACAAGTACAATCCCCATGCACGTGCTCGTCTTCCAACTATTGAAACTCTTCCCCACAAAGGTTGCTTAACTAGTGTACCTCATAAACACCTATTCCTAGCATTTGTTATTACAAAAAGGCTGGTTATAGGGGGTTTTTGAGGGTTTGGAAATAGGATAGACAGTCAAGGCAATTTGCAGACGTAAGTGGAAAGTGGAAACATGTAGTTTATTTTGTTTTCCGTAGTCGCTGGCAGTAAGTTGTTCCGTATGTAAATTGAAGATGTCCGTGGCGCTTCGCGCCGTGTACTTTACTTATCTAGGTCCCTAATGGTTAGTTGCACCTCAAGCAGGTTACAGTAGACGACGTCTTGACCACAATTTCTATTTTTTTTCAGGAGTTTTGGGAAACCTGCATTTTGATAATCGAATTTTTCCGCAGTACGTTAAATAATAAGCAGTGGCGTGTCAAACGAAGAATACTTGTTTTCAACGATAAAAACATAGTGTGTCAAGAACAACACACTGGATTTACGTATAAAGCAGTATGCTAACAAAATTTGTTCACTGAACAAACCTTACCACAGTATTCTTCTCCTAAA